TATTCAATTTAAACCAATTGATCTATTCCAAAGTAAGCTGATCAATTGACTGATTTAAACCAATCTTAAATTGGACTAGTTTTAAAAATTCAAAGAAACAATTAAAACTTAGTATGTTTTAACATTTTAAATATCAAAATTACTTGTAAAATTGTTAAGTGCTTTTTAAAGAATCTCTTTTTTGTGTGTTGAGTCATTAAAGATATATAAGTTTTTACATTTTAATTATCAAGAAATTTTTTTTTTTCGCAATCCCAAATTCAAATTAATATATTTTTGGTTTGGTTATGGATTTAGCTTTAAGCCTAAGATCCTAAGATTATTAATCAAGTATTCAAATCAATCTTGGGCAGCCCAACACAAATTTCCAAAATGGAGTTGATAGAGCAAAGGCCCATCAATTAACTACTACCCTGGCCCATTAAACGCAATGAAGAAGATTTGAAAAACGATGCTATCGGCGTTTCCATAAACCACGGAGTACGGAACCAACCATGGGAGCGAAGTCAATGCATGCAATGGACATGGGCCCCTGGTAATAAAAGCCCGTAAGGTTGCGTTTCCTTAGTCTCCAAGTTTTCCTAGACTGAGTCAGAAATAGGTTTCCGAATTAATCTTTAACCATTTTTTTAAAATTAAAATTTAGACTAGATTACATTAAATCATAAAATAACAATAATTAAGTATCAAAGACCTATTAATTAGTTCTAATGAAAGGAGTTTGATTTTTTTTAATAAATAAAGAAACAAATAAACACGATTATGAATTAATTAAAATCAATGTATTTAATAAATAGTGAGAGGTTAATATTACAATAATTAAGTTATGAACCGACACTATCAAATTTTATAATTCAATATAATCTGGATTACTAGACCGTAAAACATCGGACTTAATCTTTAATCCTGTCTTCTTAACTTCGTAAAGGAAAATTAGATTTCGGCTTCGGCTTCATCTGTAAGAGTTCAAGGAAAAAACATGTCGGTGTATGTGGCCTCAAATCGAAGCTAGCACGTATATATTTTTTTCTAGAATATTCTATCGGGTTCCAGATGGGAAATTCCGCGTAAAAATCCAG